ATGCTTTTGAAAAATGGAGAGAGGTTAGAACACAGAAAGGTTTACAGACCCATGCAGAGCTGGATAAACACTGAAGCTTCAGAGTCCACCACATGGTGACCTGAGTGAGCATCCACTCTAGAGAGGAGGAATTTAGACTGCAGTACCCATTGTAAACACAAGGGGTTATAGATTGCTCCTCTTCATTTGTTTTAAGATTTGCACCTCACTTTTCTTGAACATGTTTTCTCTAATCGTTTATTTTCATGGATGTTTTGGGTGTTTAACAACCTTGTTTCTCTTCCTCTGCTATATCCTGCTGTTTTCACTAATGACAGAGTTTCCTCTCAGTCTGTGCAGCACATCAACAGAATGACGCTCTCACATAAACACTCCTTATAACGGTGTTGTTTTATCTCCTTTGATTCACATTTCTCCTGAAGCTACCACAGCTGTTTCTGAGCCTATTTCAGTTTAGAGTTTACAGAAGAATTCAGATTTCTTCACAGTAATGATCCTGTAAAAGATCATCTTTGCAGACTGGAACAGGTGTTAAAAATCAAACATCTCAGCCGTTCTTTAACAGGACTCCTCTGTAGATAACTTTAAATTCACGGCCTCCTGCTGCTGAGTTACTCGTCTTCAGAGAGAGCGAGTAGACTTTGTGGCCTTTGATCCGTCTGAAGTAGAATAATTATATGAGCCGAGATTTAACAGATAAAGGTTTTAAATCCTGACATCTCTATTTCAGTCTTTTGTGTTTCTGTTGAAACCAAAGTGAAAGAGAGTTGCTGTAAGTCGGGAGGCGAGGTGACGGACTCCAGTTTTTTTTTAGCATCCCGTTCTTGTGTTTGTTCATGTGAACAACGTGGTAAATGGTAAATGGACTTGAGCTTGTATCTTTTTCTAGTCTTCTGACTACTCAAAGCGCTTTTACACCTCAGGTCACACCTCCACATTCACACACTGATGGTAGAGGCTGCTGAGTAAAGAGACCATCAGAAGTAACTCATTCATTTATACGTCGACGATGAAGCAGTGGGAGCAAATTGGGGTTTAGTGACATGCCCAAGGACACATCGGTCATGTGGCTAACTTTCAGTCAACCTAAGAGCTGGAGCTGAGCTGCGCCCACCTGTCAATCAGGTCAGCTACACGCCTTATTGTGAATAACTCTTATCCTTCATCAAATCAAAACTGATGAGTCATCAAAACATTCACCCCCCGTACAGTGTGTGTCCATCCAGACATGAGCTAATCACACCTATTTGGTTTTTTGAACCAGGCTGTAAACATGTTCATCTCTGCTGTAAAAACAGGCTTTTTAGAATGGGTGTGTATGTGACTTCCTGTGCTTCTGCAGCACAGCCTCTAGTGGACACTCGAGGAACTGCAGGATTTTACACTTCAGCATCAGCTTCATTTTTCAACATCGCAGGTTGCCACTTGATACCATATCCCCAATATGATCAACACCAGGATAGGCTCATAACCGGGATACTCCAGGCCATGTAAACACACTGAATGTTTGATGCCAGTACAGCTCTGTTGTCTCTCTCTCTCTCTCTCTCTCTCTCTCTTGCTCGCTCTCGTTCTCTGCTATTTGATTTGCATGAGGAAACCTGAGCAGCAACTTTTCTCTTCTATTATCCCCGCTGTGCTGCATCCCATTGCCCTTGCTGTAACCTACAGAAATGAGTGGCAGTGTGCCGCCCACGGCCAAGCTGTTATGTTAGTCCACTATAAGTCAGGCTTTTCTCTGGAGGGGCCGCCTTGGAAGCTCTCAACAAGATCACATTTTCACTTTCAAGCCAGCTTCTTTTTTTTTCCCAGCCGACCTTCACCCTGTGTGTGTACCTGCAGGATGCAAGATAAGAACCTGCTGTGTGCACGACTCTTACTCACAGAGCAGCAGCTCACATGCTCACACTGCTACCATCTTTATCGTGTTTGAGTGTTTGAGGAATCACATTTCACCTCGGTCACATCTGCAATAAATAGCCTTCACCCTCGTTTTAGAACGAGCTTTATCCACTTGGTGTTTCTCCTCACTCTCATTATATTTTCTCTTCTTTGCCGCTCATCACACCAATCACTGAGTTGTATCCACTCCTAAACTCACCTGCTGCGCTGTCATTGGCTGGAGGAAACACACCAGCTCCGCCCAGAAACGTCCCGAGTCAACCAGAACAAAAATCCAGTCAGAGGACAGAGTCTCTGCAGACACAGACACCACCACACATGTACGGAGGCCCAGAAGGGACGATGGAGCAGCTTTAATTTTTAGGAAATAGCTATTGACTTTATTTAATTGCACAATATTCAGTAACTGATTCATTGTTTTTATTTCCTTGTGTTTTTTATTTTTGGATATCAAAATAGACAAAACCTTTGCACATCCATTTCTCAACACTTGAGGTCGCCGCTTGGTCTGAGCTGATGATCTCTCTTATTTGTTCATACCTAAAATTTCTGCAGCACACCAGTGCCTTCTAGAAGTAGTAAAGCTAGACAGAAAAGCCTCTTACACGACCAACGGAGCAAGATGGAGCAAAGAAGAATCACACAGAGGGCCGGTGCCTTCAGGAGAGCGGGACAAGAACCCTCAATGGTGATGATCTTTTTTTATTTAAAGACTAAAAAACCAGAAGCCTGTTAGCTTGTTATCAAGACATGGTGCTTTTAAAAATAGAGAGAGAGAGAGGGAGGAGAGAGAGACAGAGAGAGAGAGAGACCGAGAGAGAGACAGAGAGAGAGAGAGAGAGAGAAAGAGAGAGAGAGAAAGCGAGAGAGAGACAGAGAGAGAGAGAGAGAGAGAGAGAGAGAGAAAGAGAGAGAGAGACAGAGAGAGAGAGAAAGAGAGAGAGAGAGAAAGCGAGAGAGAAAGAGAGAGAGAAAGAGAGAGAGAGAGAGAGACAGAGAGAGAGAGAAAGAGAGACAGAGAGAGAGAAAGAGAGAGAGAAAGAGAGAGAGAAAGAGAGAGAGAAAGAGAGAGATGTATATAAAGTTGTTGTTGTGACTCATTTCCAGGAGGGTGAGGATGCTGCTGTTAATCACGCTGCACTGCATTCATCAGACTTTATATTTAAAAAACGCACTGCAGCATCTGGAAAAGTTAACGTCACATTCTGCTCTCTGAAAGCACAAACATATTAACAACGCTCCTCTTCCTATTCAAACCTAATCAGACCAAAGTTGTTTCCTCTAAAAGCTTTTTTTAACCCTTTACATCTCCTCCTCCACATCCAGATCTCTTCTCTAGTCCCTGCTGACGAGCATCTTCACAGGATGTTCACAAGCTGGAGATAACTGTGGTGACAATCGTTGACCTGAGGTCTTTTCTGCTGATTCACTTTGAAATACATAAATATGATGATATGATGTTGGAGGTCCATACTAAACCTCACCAACGTTTTATAAAGTTGTCGCCATAAACCTCTGAACGAGAGGTCACGAGAACTCTGCGAGAATTGTCCAGAACTGGACATCAGGTTCTGTCGACCTATCAGAGCAAAGCATGGAGCAAAAATTGGAGGACACGCCCACCTCAGCAGCTCTTTCAGGGACACGCCCACCCGGAAAGTCAAATTTCCCTAACACAACAAACAGAGCTGGACAATCAGAGCAAAGTGGGCAGATGGGGAGGGGAGGGGGAGGGGCTTAAAGAGACAGCAGCTGATATTGTTGGATGCTGCTCTTCAGCATCACAAAGGTTTTTCTGGCAGAAAAGCGCTGGCCGTGCGCTCGGGAGAATTTGTATTGAGCGTTTGTCTGCTGAGTAGAAAAGCGCTGCACGTCCGTCCTGTTTCTATGACGACAGTGTGTTGACAACGGCCGCTGTGTGACCGACACTGCTCTTTTACACGATTTAACACATCACTACTACACGATCTGTAGGTGGCGGGGAATATCATACATTTGAAAAAGAGCGTCGGTGAAGTCAACAACGTCTTTCTAAAAAGTTGAAAGATTTTCGACTTGAGCGCTCAGAGCGAAAAAGACTCATTGAAAACAAGACACTGGTGCTCTGAAAAAAGCTCTAGGTGGACACGAGGCCTTATTGAGATTACTTTTTGTTATCCAGAAAAAAGAGAAAGTTATGTTCTGAAGATGACTCATAACTTCTGTGTGAAAAAAGAAAAACTCCTCTGAATCCTTTTGTTTGGAGTCAAGAATACTTGTCAGGCTTTGAGATCTTCTCTCCATTGTATAAAGACTTGTTTGTAAAGGCTTCATCTGACTAAAGCAGAATCACATCAGGTGCATCTTCAGGGCAAACAAGACTTCATCTCTGCAGAAATCATCAAGTCACATCAGAGTCAAATTTTCTGTGAGGCAGAGAGCTTCTTAAAGACAGAGAGCTACAGGCTGCTGCTGCTTTGAGAAGTCAGACCATGAATCACAAAACAGAGCCGGTCTCCTGTTACTAAAAACATGCTACCATCAGGAGGATCAAACCATTACAGGCTGAGTAAGAACATGAAACAAACAGCAAATAAGTAAATATTAGTGGATGAAGCCTGAGTGAGGTCACGCGTCTGTTCCTGCAGGGGGCGCTGGAGTCCACTGGAGGAGCTTCCAGTGACGCAAAATGACGCTCTGCCGCCGCAAGCCCAGCCGCCGCGAGTATTTCAGATTCTGAACTACAGGACCTTAGTGGGAGTGGCCTGCGGTGCTGTGCATTGAGCCAAAAAGACACTTTCTGCCTTTTCACGGCCAAGAAGGCACCAACTTCAAAATGTATTTCACATTTCTACATATATGACCCAATGTCAGTACAGAGTCATGTTTCAACGGGTGAAGTATCCCTTTAAAGGGTCAGACCTGGGGCCCCAAGCTGTGTCCTGCCTGTTGACAAGCATCGTCTCTGAGTAAAAGACATCGCTGCACATAAGAAACACATTCATCAACGTTACCTGGACGGAGACGGAGGTAAAGAGTCTCTGAGAGGTGGACTGAGTAAATAAAACAGAGGAAAGTAAAGTTTGACGAGTCAAAAAGAAGCCGTCAGTGTGTCTTACCTTGACATTTGGTTTCCTGGTTGAGAATCCTCGGTACCATCCTGAAAGAAAAAAACACAAACACGAGTGAGTCAGACTGACGAGAAGAAACAGGACGATTCAGTGAAGAGATAAAAACGGTTATGAGTCAGCAGCTTGACTGAATGTGCAAGGACACTTCAGAGATGACATTTACCAACAAGAAGATCTTTGTTTGCAGGAGAACAAAAACCTTAAAGTCACCTCACAAAGACAGTGCTGATGAATGGAAATGTTCATGAGAACTCGGGTTTAAACTGCTTATAAGACAAAGTCAAGCTCACAGGTCATCACTGTAACGAAGAAGTAGAGACAGTAGTGATGGACCTCAGGTCAGCAGCTAGTTTGTACCAGAGTAACTCGCTTGACTTTGATCTGATTCTGGGTACGGCTAACAGACCGAGGGCCCGGGTCGGGTTGTAGTCTGTGAGCAGCTCAGAAATATACTCAGGAGCTGAACCATTGAGAGCTTCATGGACTGAAGGATTTAGAAAGTGATTCTGTTGTTGGACAGGAGTGATGTGTTCAACTGTTCTTGTACGTGTCAGGACTCTGGCTGCTGAATTCGGTTTAAGTTTGAAGTCTTCCTACAGATTGTTTGGATAGCCCGGTATAAAGAGCGCCTCAGTCCTCTGACCTGGTTGAGATGGATGCATGGACTCATTTCTCTGCGTCTGTTTGGGACGTGAATGATCAGAGTTCTCTACAGTACATGGGATGGGGCCTCTACAGTACCTGTGATGGGGCCTCTACAGTACATGTGATGGGGCCTCTACAGTACCTGTGATGGGGCCTCTACAGTACCAGTGATGGGGCCTCTACAGTGCATGTGATGGGGCCTCTACAGTACCTGTGATGGGGCCTCTACAGTACATGTGATGGGGCCTCTACAGTACATGTGATGGGGCCTCTACAGTACCTGTGATGGGGCCTCTACAGTACATGTGATGGGGCCTCTACAGTACATGTGATGGGGCCTCTACAGTACCTGTGATGGGGCCTCTACAGTACCTGTGATGGGGCCTCTACAGTACATGTGATGGGACCTCTACAGTACCTGTGATGGGGCCTCTACAGTACCTGTGATGGGGCCTCTACAGTACCTGTGATGGGGCCTCTACAGTACATGTGATGGGGCCTCTACAGTACATGTGATGGGGCCTCTACAGTACCTGTGATGGGGCCTCTACAGTACATGTGATGGGGCCTCTACAGTACCTGTGATGGGGCCTCTACAGTACCTGTGATGGGGCCTCTACAGTACATGTGATGGGGCCTCTACAGTACATGTGATGGGCCTCTACAGTACCTGTGATGGGGCCTCTACAGTACAGTGATGGGGCCTCTACAGTGCATGTGATGGGGCCTCTACAGTACATGTGATGGGGCCTCTACAGTGCATGTGATGGGGCCTCTACAGTACCAGTGATGGGGCCTCTACAGTACATGTGATGGGGCCTCTACAGTACCAGTGATGGGGCCTCTACAGTACATGTGATGGGGCCTCTACAGTACATGTGATGGGGCCTCTACAGTACATGTGATGGGGCCTCTACAGTACATGTGATGGGGCCTCTACAGTACCTGTGATGGGGCCTTAGAGAATTAGAGGAATCAAAAGATGGACATTTAAAGGGACTCTCAAGTCCTCAAAACGAACTCTGTGAACCCACGTTTTGCACCACACACACACACACACACACACACACACACACACACACACACACACACACACACACACACACACACACACACACACACACACACACACACACACACACACACACACACACATGCAAAAGGGGGGAGAGATGTGTACCATAACCCCCTTAAGACATCATCCGTCATTATCTGTCTCTGTCAGACCTCTCAGTCAGCTGAATCTGATCCTCCTGAAAGTCTCAGAGAGCACATCAGATGTTTCCACATGGACGAACACTCATCAGAGACCTCTGACAAACACCAAGCTGTCACAAAAAGTTGACTTGACCTCGAGTGAAACCTTGACAGAGCGGAGAATGACGCACATCCACGGACTGAATATGTACAGGGGACTGCAGCAGAGGGAAATAAAAACAAATGTGTCTCCAGCTCAAGGGGGATATAAAGCTCTGTGACTGCTGTCTGTGCTTTTTAGACATTATGGCCATTACTTCTGAAGTAAATATAAACATACAGCTCCTATCATGACCTGTTAAATCAGAGCTAATCAGATCATACCTGCTTCTGATGGAACATTTAGAAAGTTCATCCACTGAAGATGCTTCATAACTCTCATCTTATCTTCCTGCAGAATCACAACATCCACTTCTCAGCTGTTCTGTTCATAATCTGATATGAATATGGAGACAGCGACTTTAATTGGCCACTTAATTAATAACCAATCAAGATTCATTCATCACCCTGGTTTTCCACGGCTGTGTTTACTCCCCAGTCTCTCATCTATATGGAAATCAGAGCGGAGCAGAGACGGCTGTAATGACGCCTGTTTGTGAGGACGAGTGAGTGCGTCTCAGCATCTCTGTGAGGAAACCACACGAGAACATGAAGCCAGAAGAGATATTTATACTTGTTAAAGGCGGAGGTGGCAGCAGGTTCTGCTACGAGCACACAGGTGCGTGTTTGGCCCTAATTTGCTTCATTGTCACTCAGCGTTCCTCTGAAGACGAGTAATCTCCTCGCCTCCCGCTTCCCGACGACTCACTAAGAGGTTATTAGAATAATCATTTTGCACTGTTGTCATAATAATTCACAATTATCATCTCTGTGAATCGTCTCTGAGTGAAGGGCAGAACTCAAGGAGGCCCTTTAACGCTGCTTCACTCTGATCTCATTAAGAAGGCAGCATTAAGCAGCAGATTCAGGTTTCCATCAGAACAGTGAATCAGTCTTCATGTTCCTGTGGCGCTCACCTCAGGCTGCGTTATGAAGAGGTTAACTGCTTGTTGATGCACTGAGAGTACTCATGAAGGTGTATTTTATTACTATTATGACTTTAACAGTGATTCAATAGAGGTGTGAGAGCAGCCGAGCCACCACGATGTCTTACTGTGAAGTTCACTAAACACTGACGAGTCCATTAAGAAGCACCAAATCTATAAACTGAGGAAACATCACGTCACATAAGCAGAAGAAAAAGTCTGCTGGTGAATCAAATAAGGAATCCCTGCATCTATGATGTCTGACGACAAGTCACTTTTTTCTGCCTTAGCTGTTTTATGGAAATGTAAGAGGTACTGTTAGAACCCAAATACAGCACAGTTAAACCCTGGACTCGCACGTAATGCTCTTTAATTTAGTTCTTGATACCTGTGTTTCCCACACATAGAGGATACTTGGGCGGGCCGCCCAGGTAAATTTATGGCTGCCCGAGTATATTTCTGACTTGTTTTAATTTATTTTTTCATTCATTAAAAAAATTGCTGCGAGCGCGCGAGAGAGAGAGAGAGAGCGAGTGGGGGAGAGAGAGAGAGAGTCACTTTGGCTCATGGCTCTGTGCAGCAAACCTCCTGTCTCGACTCCTGCAGAGGGAACCAAGAGAGTGAAATCACATCAGCTTCAGAGAAAGAGAGAGAGGGTCCTCTGTCCGCTCGCCCCTCTTGTAAATGCACCTTGCACCATCAAAACTGAAGCTTCTCATGGCTTCGTTTTAAAAATGTTAATATCAGCTGCTTGCTTCTGATTCTGTTCTGAACTCATATAAATACAGAATATTAACTTTTCAAAATGCGTTTGTGTCTGTGCACGTCCGTGGATAAATTGATCAGATTAAGTTGTTTGTTGCAAAAACCACATTAATTAAGAGGGGAGAACACATTTGATATAAATACAAACCTAATATCAAAATATACCCTGAGATAAGAGTAAGAAGAAAGAAAAAAAAGCAAATCGTCTGGGGATAAAAATGAAATTACAATGAATTGAAGTTAATTGTTGTTTTAGAAAGAGGTGTTTTTCTTCTAATAAAAGTTTTGATGTCAGAAAGAAGTGTAGTTAGCTCTTTATCTCCCGATTACGGCCGCAACCTCCCGATGTGACGGTCTAAGTGAGTGACACGCCCCCTGAATACAAGATGATGATTGTTCAGTGATATTTATGGTCTTGGTCTTGACTCGGTCTTGATCCCTAAATGTCTCGGCCTCGGGTATGTACACTAAAACTCCACTGCAGGACCTGTGGACATGCATTCATGGATTGATGTCAGAGTCTGCTACACAGGGCGCCTTGCCTTGGTGTACTCTGGCACCTCTCCAGCTACCAGACCAACTTCAATATTTTACTCCACACCGGGATTTGAACCCTTTCTTTGCCAATCCAAGTCCCTACAGTCTGAGCTGCTGCAGCATGTAAACATGTAAGGCTTTATATACAAATGGGGGCTAAAGCTCGCATCATCTTTTTCTCTTCTCTTTGTTTTAGATAAGACTCTCGTCTCAGAGTTCTGAACGTTCTGTGGCAGACCGTCCAAAAGAGCATGAAGTGGAATTTAGTGTGAATAAAGACATGAACACATTTTTGATAAAAAGACTGAATCACGATATGAGAAAAGAAAATAGAAAACAAGACAAATAACTCGTCCTGTTATGAACAAGGCGATGTAATATCTGCTTTTCTCTCCTGTTTAACACCTGACTGTTATTCACCGACCGGCAGCTCCCTCCTGGACGTCCACAATAACAGAAGCAGCTCTCGGGGAGAGATTTGTTCCAGCTGAAAAGCCTCTCCAGAATAATGAGTGGCTGTTCTTAGCTGAGGCCCTTCAGTAATGCTGACAGTGCTGAGAGTCCAAAATCTCAGAAATTGCTGCCTCCGCCTTAATCGAAGTCTAATGCATTCTCAAGTGTTATGACTGTAATCTATATTTTCAAAATGGAGCTCTGGGATTGCATTCCTGCAGCCCGGCCGTCATCTCCCCATCACTGTCATTACAGTCATTGAGTTTCTGTCTGGGGACGATCATTTGGCATTAGTGCAGGCAGGGAAATGCTCGACACAGGGAGAGCTCATTTAGGGAAAGATTTACATCTTGAAAACTAAAACTGAACTTCCTGAATAGAAACTCTGCAGGATCTCTGCAGCAGCTGAACACTAATGATGACACACACACTCACACCAGACATGGTCACCAGGAAGAGGAAAGATATTCAAGGTAGAGAAGCATTTGACTTGTAAATAAAATACAGACTTATTGTAAAGTGAAGCTGCTCCATCGTCCCTTCTGGGCCTCCGTACATGTGTGGTGGTGTCTGTGTCTGCAGAGACTCTGTCCTCTCACTGGATTTTACTGTATTGGTTTGTTCTGGTTGACTCTTGTTGAAGTTTCTGGGTGGGGAGCTGGTGTGTTTCCTCCAGCCAATGACAGCAGGCAGGGGACTTTGGGAGTGGATACAAGTCAATGACCTGCGTCAATCAGGTCGAATATGGTGTGGTCGAGTTAAAATGTTCATAGTGATGCAAAACATCAGGTGGGTTAAAGCCTTTCCAAAACAGTGTGAACCTTGTGTTGGCTTTCACCCACGTTTGGGCTCTAAAGAAGCTTGTGATGAAGAGGGGTTGACTTCAGACCGGTGGTTAGCTTGTGTTAGCATGCCAAAACAGCATGCTAACACAACAAATCTGATATTCTCCTGTAGCTTGTAAGTACAAGCAGTAAACATATAAATCAAGTCCTGCTATCAATCTTTGCAAATACCTTGATGGTTAAGGTCGTGCATAGAGACGTGATGCTGCAGGTGGTTGCTTGGCTGGGTGGCGGCGTTCTAGCAAACTGTTGTCAGGGGCAGTGGGCGTGCGTTCCTGCTGGCCATGAGCCCAGGAGGAGGGGCCTTGTTTAAATGTTGTGTTTTTAAGCTGTAATGAACATTTCTCCTGGATGAAAGGAGAATCAAAATCAAATATTCTGACATGAATTAGTCAGTATGCCTGGAGATGATCTCTGTAGAGTAATATGATTAAAAATTGACGTGCAAGCGCCTCAAATTAACACAAAACTCTCATCAAATAAAACTCTGTTCTGCTTTACTAGTCAATGTCCCACATGTTGAGATAAAGACAGAAGCTCTGGGAATCTTCACACGGGGATGTTGGACAAAAGTCGGCCCTTGCCTGCTCTTATAATCACTGTGTGCCGAAGGGAGAGCTGCAATGCCAGCGTATGCCACAGGGGTTCAGATGAAAGCCCGTTCCCCCCACTAGAGGAGTTGATTTTCAGAGCAAGAGAGGATGAGATGCTAATGAGGATGTGATTAAAACCGCTCAGGGTTAAAAGTAAGGCTTGTCAATAACAGAAGACAACAGAGAGGGAAAGACTAAGAAGTGAAAACAAAGCTGTATTAACTGAACATTTCCCCGTCTCTGCTGACCGTTTAAAGACTCTGAGGCGTCAGCTTGATGGAAGCATCCTGCACAGCTGTGGCTAATGAAGCCCCGACTCTCTCATTATCTGGAAACACAACACTTCCCGCTACACACACATCCTGGCCTCAGCTGCTGATAGGACTAACAGTGGGAGCACCATCAGCTGATAATAAGTGATATGGGTGCAGCGATGACGGCTCTGTGTTCAATCTGCTCTCTGTGTTCGAGGACGCGCAGCGGGCTCAGGAAGAATACGTCGAGGCTTTTTAATCTGGTGCCGTCACAAACATCTGGGGAAAAGGATCATAACTCATGAACGATTTAAAAAAAGGTAAAGTTACACAAACTCAGAGACACTGAGGAGTTCATGCAGGAGCTGTTGGTGACGCTTCACTTCCACGCAGGTATGAGTCACAGAAAAGCAACATAAAGATGCACTATTAAAAGTTCTGCATTTACATCATACTCAAAATCTGTTTTATTATTTACAGGTTTATCTTAGGAGGGTAGCCATAGGTCGGATTTGAACCCGGGACACCAGCCTAGAGGACCATCCCTCATTTGGCGCACTCACTCACTAAAAAACACTAGATTGTGAATGTGAATAAGAAAAGTGCAGTTGTTGCAATTTCACAAACATGACAGATGAGAACGTGAAGGTGCCTCCTCAGAGTCCTTCATGATGTGGACAAAACAAGGGGGGGGGGGGTGTCACCAAACCTGAACAAGGTGCCACAGGTGCTGTTTGTCAACAGGCAAGGCAGGCAACTACTTGAGGCCCCAGGCCAGTAAGGGGCCCCGAGGCCTGACGAACTTGAAACCATAGCAGTAGTTCAAGGACTGTAGGAAACCTCCCTATGGTGTTTGAGGGCCCCAACAGACTCTAGAACAGCCACAGCAGCAAGGCGCTTTTCAGGCTGTGAAGACACTTAAAATGCTTTCGATGATTTTTCTTAAGGGATTCAGGGAGCAGGTATCTTGAAGGCATCAGATGACTTTTCTGACCACACGCATTGTTCCTTCATGTTGTGTTAAGCTCTTTGACTCCAGCAGTGAGGCTCCTGAAACCTGAGAAGGGAACCTCCTTCCTGAGTCGAGGTTTTTAATGTTGCAGTGAAGATAACTGGATCCCTTCCTCAGAGCAGCTCTGTGACGTTAATTAATGCTTGAAAAAGTCGCTCTGCGGTTGTTTGAAAATGTGATTACAGGTTCTCAGCTGCAGACTTTTTAAGGCTCTTCTGTCTGACGGTCTGCCAACAGGTTTCAGCTGCGCTCGTTTCTTCTTTAATGTGGTTAATATGTAGAACGATAGAGGAGCATGTTACACTGCAGGAAATAATCAGAGCAGTTTAACTCCCTTGTTCTGCCTCTTCTTCCAGTATGTGATGGATTTAACTTAATACTGTTTGAAACCACTCAAACTTTAATTTAGTTATAATCCAAATGCAACTTCTTTTAACCATGCCTTATGGAGTGTTTGCATTAGACGGCACTTTACTCTTCACTTTTATTCTTATCTGTATTTCTTATTGCTTGTGTTTGAATACTTAATTGAAGAAAAACCTTGGAGTCCCAGTAATCTGTAGCTCTCACAGGATGTTTTTACACTGATCACTGCTTCACTGACACTCTGGTGCTGCTGACACAATGATCAAGGACATCGCTGCTGAATCAAACATCCACCCACACTCTACCTCACGCAGGTATTCATCAGGTGCTCTTCTTACCTTCACATTTCTCCAGAATCTGAACTGTCTCTCCCACTTCCAGAGCCAGACCCTGAGTCACCGAGCCGCGGAAGTTGCAGATCACTGCGGAGAAAGAAACAGAGAGGAAAAGATGAGAAGATGAGATTTTATAAAAATCTGTCAAACCGAAAGGTCACATGATATGTTAAATCCACTTCCCATGTTTCTCTAACATGTGTCTCTAGTCCGTCTACAAACCCCCCAATGATGAGTAAAGTCCATCCTCTCCGTCTTTCCCCTGCTCCACTTTTCAGAAAATGTGTGCTCAAACAGGCCGTTTGGAGATTTTCCCTTCATGACATCACAAAGGGCAGTAGTCCCTCCCCCAGGTGGGTGACACTCCCACAGCTAGGTGTTTGTTCTGCCCTCTGAGTCTGCCTTCTCACCGTAAACAATAGGACATGGAGCGAGAAAGACCGAGTACACCCAAGCCCTTCCAGAGAGGGGGCGTGGTCAGACACAGATCATTTACATATTTAAAGGTACAGACACAGAAACAGCCTGTTCTGAGCAGGGCTGAAATAGAGGGGTTTATAGACATGATCAAATACAGGATCAGAGTGGATTTAGAACAAGAAACTTCATACACATGTTTTGAGGAGCTCTGAGACTTATTGAAACTGAAGAGGAGGAGGAGGATATGTCACCTTTAAACTGAGATCATTTAATCATCACTTCCTGCACGAATGATCTGATCCTAAACTTTGCCGAGGAATAGAATATGACCTTTAAAAAAACGGCATCATGAGAGTGAAGCATTAGATTCAACTCCAAAAAGAATAATCTTTGATGTTTATATTATCTACAGAAGTCCAATAGTGACGTAATGTTATGTGCAGATCACAAACAGCATGATGAATGCCAAAGCGATGGCCTCATCTGTTTTTGTTCACGTCACCGTGCGCCTGTCCCGTGACAGTTACAGCGTGACGTTACATCACCACAGCCTGACTGAACACATCCTCAGTACTCTCTGCAGCGTGCAGGCACAGTTAGTACAACATCATGACTGCACCAGTGAAGCCACAAAACCACAGAGCTCACAGCTCAGTGTGCTGCTGCAGTCATTGCGTTAGAAATCATTCCCTTGAGCTGAGCTGTACTTCTCATTGACCCTGACATAAAAAACCAGTCAGGAGCAAACGTAAGGAGAACTCCACACAGTCAGTGAGACATAGACAACAAGCTGTTGAAGGAGCAGCTGGAACAGTCCAGTAGGACAGGTTGGATCAGGATCTGATACAGCAGGAGGAGATGGGGGGCCACATAAAGTCATTTCAGTGTGCAGATGGCGCCCCCTGGTGGTGGAATGAACTACCAAACTCCATTCTGCAGAGTCCCTCTGCATCTTTAAGAAAAAGCTAAAGACCCAGCTCTTTCATGAACACCTACTAACTTAATGATGATGGTCTCCATATTATTGATGATGATGATGTTAATGACGATGGTTTTTGTTTGATAACGATGACTTATAAGATGGTTTCTATACTGATTAGAGCTCTCAAGAACTGCCCTCAATGTTGTGCTTTGCCTCTGGTCACTTCCTGTCAGCACCTGTGTGTCCAATCAGACTCAAAGCTGATCGTTTGCTCTTACTCACATTGTTCCCTTTTTTCTAGATCCTTGCTTGTGTTGTTCTTACTCTCTGATGTACGTCGCTTTGGATAAAAGCGTCTGCTAAGTGAATTGTAGAATTGTGGATGGCTGACAGTCTTTGATGGCTCATGCAGCAAATAGCTGATTTAGATTCAAACCCAGGGCGGCTGCATCAAGGACTTCAGCCTCTGCAACATAACCGCCCAAAGAAAATATGTTTTTGGTTGATACATACATCTGTATCACGGTGTGTTTAAAACCCACTCTAGGTTTTGTGTGTAGAAACATCAGTTGTTTAGTAAATCAGAGAGTGATGGAGCAGCTCATAACGCCTGAAACTTTGAGAATAACTCATTAAAGAAAAGGATTTGAGATTTCAGGAAGGACATTATGATCAACAGCTGCACACTTTGTTTTTTTCACAGACGGATCCTAATCTCTCAGACAAATGTAAATGAGTTGACATGAAGTCAGAGATAAAACAGATTAGGCCCCGTTCGTCTGATCTGTGATGTCGTCCGTCTTTGAAACAGAAACACAGACGAGTCTGAAGAGCCTGAGCGACGAGCGGGGACGAGATCTTCACCCTCTCTGTCACTTCTGTTTTGTGATGTGAGGTCTCTTTGTGTTTGGAGGCCGTGCGTCTGATGTCACTGCAGTTTATCTGAGCTGTTACTTCATCACTCAGTCTGTGCGAATCAACCTCGGAGACAAAGCAAACTTTATGAGCGAGCCCCGATCACGCCGCTCAAGGCCTCGTGACAGACGCTCTCTCTGTCCTCAATGCTTCTCTCGGTTTGTCGCCGTCTTTATTTAGAGTGTGCAACTGTTCATTTTAAGAGCCAGACAAATCCCTGCTATGATTGACGTGTAATGATCAGAATATCCTCGTGGTATTCAGTCCGTCTCCTGTTACAGTGCACTGATATAAACACGTCTGACATGTTTACTTAATTTATTCCTAAAAAAATGGCCCCAAATGATTTTCCTGGGATGCAGGATGAGTCAGCTCCAGCGTCTACGTGCCTTTAAGTGTGATTATATAAGATGTGTGTGGCAGTCATAAATAAATCTCTTAAAGCATGAGAGGACTGGAGAGATGCTCCAACATTATGTTTATAATTAACATTAAACATTCAAGACTTCAGAATCAACAAACATAACAAACAGCTTTCAGGTAAAAGAACTCGACTAATTCTATTTTAAAGTTTTAATCCTTTATGCTTTGTGACACTATTAATCAGCGTTGAGGGTAACGCATCACAAAGTACTCAGATTACTTTTCCATCAAAGTAATTTGTTACTGAACAAAAAATGCTGCATTTCTCTCTTCTTCCTGTTGTCGCCTCAAAAGAAAAGAAAAGAAACACCTCTTCAGTTTCTGTTTCTCTTCCTCTGAGCAGGTCGTTGCTAATGAGCTGAAGGTCGGTCTTCAGGTGTGTCAGTGCGCATGTGTAGCGAGCGACTTCAGTAAATACGATGGTGGAGAGAGGGCGGCTTTTACGTCTTGGAAATATTCCCATGATTCTGACTTTTGTGATATGATATGTGGCGTCTGTACTTCCTGTTATTGAGCTGCAGAGGTACAGATGATGGACTGTAAGAGAGGTCGTGACGTGTGGCGCCGATAGCCGGGCGGTTGTGGAGCGCGCCCGATGTACGGAGGCTACAGTCCTCGTCGCAGTGGCCGTGGGTTTGAATCCGACTTCGACCCTCTCTCTTCACAATGTTTCCTGTCTCTCTGCAGCTGTCCAATCTATTAAAGACCAAAAGGCCCCAAAAGATAACACACACACACACACACACACACACACACACACACACACACACACACACACACTATGCTCTATAGTTAAAGCTGCCCTCTGGTACTTGGGCAGCAGGATCGTGTCTGTGTCTGTCTGCCATCGCCTGCATGTCACTGTCATCACTCTCTGTCACGCTCCGGCTCTCCGTTAATAACGTCGCTCAGTGTTGGATTGTCACTCCCCCCCCCCCCCCCCCCCCCCCCCCCCCCCGCCTCTCTGTCATTTGTTCATTGTACCTTGCTGTCATCCCCGCCACTGCGGCGTTGTTGCTGGCCTTTCCTGTCTGTCATCTGTCTGATGAGCGTGTCACACACCCCGCCTGGTCTCGCTCTGCAGCGCTCCACTGACTCGTGCTCCGGGACCAGACGTGGAAAATGAAACAGATTCAGAGCTGAAGACGTGCGAGAAGACACATGGAGCGAGAAGGATGTAAACATGGAGTTCAAGACGCCGTTCAAAAGACACCGTCACAACCCCAAACCTGACGTCACATCAAACCCCGGCCCCCTCCTCTTTCTCTCAACATGTTGTTCCTCTGCACTCGGGGAGTTCAGTGTGGATTATCATCTTTTCACAGTGTTTATTCTGAATGTGCGTCTCGTCCCAAAAGAACAGCACACTTTGTCTCCCTGCTGAGCACACAAGAGATAAATATGAGTCACAAACAGTCTCAGATCTCTGCAGAGGATTCTGAACACTCAGGAGGTTCTGTGCTCACTTATCACCAGTTGAGGATCTGAAGAGGGTTTGTGCTTTTTAAAAGAACAACACCTTGTTTTCACATGAGGGGGTTCAACGAGTCAGTTCAGGCTGCATTCTGCTCTCTGGAAGCTCAGTCGTCTGTTTGTCTTCAAATTCAAACAATCAAATGAACATTCATCCTCTGAAGGTTCTATGAGAAGTCCATTTAGGAACCAAAAACACAGACTGAGGCTGACAACCATCCATCCATCTATATATCTACTGTATCTATATCCATCCATCCATCTATATATCTACTGTATCTATATCCATCCATCCATCTATATATCTACTGTATCTATATCCATCCATCCATCTATATATCTACTGTAACTATATCCATCCATCCATCTATATATCTACTGTATCTATATCCATCCATCCATCTATATATCTACTGTAACTATATCCATCCATCCATCCATCCATCTATATATCTACTGTATCTATATCCATCAATCCATCCATCTATATATCTACTGTATCTATATCCATCCATCCATCCATCTATATATCTACTGAAACTATATCCATCCATCCCTCCATCCATCCATCCATCCACCTATTCATCCATCCATCCCTCCACCTATCATCCATCCACCTATCCATCCATCCATCCATCTAATTATTAAAACCTGAGAGGTTCTTCTTTTTAAACGTTAATTGAATAAATAAATATCATCAACCAAATTAAATATTTCTGATTCATCAAAACCAACAAACAGATATTCATCCAGTTTAACTTTTAACACTTTCTGAAATCATTTGTTACCTTTCAGTGAGAAATGATTTTATTTAAAGCAGACGAGGGACGAAACAGAGGAGAGAAGTGCTGGAGGGAAACACACCACACACACACACACACACACACACACACACACACACACACACACACACACACACACACACACACA